GTACGTGGCCTACACCATTGTGAGCATTTACACATGTGCACTGATGTGTCTGTGTGGCTCTGCAGTTACACCTCCAAAACACGAGTCGGCAGCAGAGGTTTCTGTGAAGTGCTGTTAAGTTTAGGTCATTCAAAACACACCCAAAACACACATTAAATATGGTTTAATAGAGACAATTTCAAACACAAGTACACAGATGCACTTCACTATAACTTGCAGGACTCTCAAACAAAGCATTTGTCTTTTGCTGGACACACTTTTCTCCATAAATATAACATGTTAATGTTATTAGCACAAGCCTATGGCATTTTACATTGTATAAATTAGCCTAGCAACGAGTGGAGATTTCCTCTGCTCATATGAAGCCAGGATAAATCACACAGAAGACTTAAAATGCTATTTTTGTGGAGGCTTTATTGTCATCAGAATTTACGGTTTCTTATCTATAAAATTTAAATGAATAGAAGCTTTGTTTGTAAAATGATGAAATGACAAAAACAGAGATCTGCATCGCTGAGATGCGTACATTTCTGGGGAGGTGCTACAGCATAGGGTACGGCATAGGCTCTACATCAATGCAGATCCTACAGCTTAGGTACAGCGTCGATTTGATGCAGAAGTATAAATTCCGCCTTAATATTTAAACAGTGCTAGAGGCCAACACCAGGCAGACAATGGCAAGCAGCTAAGGAAAAACACAATGACGATATTTGCTGATATTGTCCCATATTGATCGCAGGCCCCTAAATTGAGTCAAATGGAAATCATTTCATGGCAGACTTGGTGACATCAGCAGATATTGTATTGTTGTCTAAAGAATCATTTTCATATTGTGATGAAACTTGTGATGTGGAGGTAGCAGTGAGTTTGCTGAACACAGGGTGAAGCATTTAGCAGCTAAACAGTTGGTGAAGACCAAAACAGAACTAAAGAGGACTGTGGATACCAGACTTGCATTGCATGCCAACTAGCCATTAATATATTGCTGACTTAAGGCTGGGAAAGATAACAAGATTATCTTGATATCAGGATATGAGACTAGATATCATCTTAGATTATGGATATCATAATATTGTGTTGGCTTTTCCTGGTTTTAACAGCTGCATTATAGTAAGATAATGTCATTTTCTGGACTGTTGAAGCTGTTGTATTATTTGCTTTTACAACTTTGTCATTATATCCACATTGGTAAAGACTGAACAAAAATATCATTGTGTAATTATTGTGTGAACGCACAAATAGTCAATCCTACAGTATTGTGGCAACACAGACAGAGGTATTTACTCAAAAATACAGTTATATATTTTTTTTTTTCATATTGATCAGCCCTTCTCTGAATCTCTGCTAGATAGAAACATAACTGAGCCATCCAAATGAAATAACAAAAACTCAACAAGACAAGTGGCCAGAACTTATCGAAAGAGTACTTGGTTTCAGTCTACCTCAACAACATAAAATCCTAAAGACACACACAGAACTGTTGTCTTTGAAATGCACGACAGTAGATGTCATTTTGTATGGTTATTAACTATTTGGGTGGCAGCAGCTCAGCCCACAAGAACTTGGTTTGGGAACTGGAGGGTCACCAGTTAAAGTCCCCATACGGACCTAGTATGGAGCGTGGACTGGTAGCTGGAGAGGTGCCATTGAGCAGGGCACTGAACCCCCCAAATGCTCGGGGTGCATGTCAAAAGTAGCTCTTTCGCTCTGACATCTCTCCATTTAATGTACCTAAAGGTTCTGTTTGTCTGTGTATGACAATAGAGTGGAAACAACTGAATTTCCCCTCAGGATTAATACAGTATCTTCTTCTTCTACTAATATATTCCCTTGTGTCTATTGGATGTGTAAACAGGTGACTGTTTGCTAACCAGTTAGCCATATAACCCAGTCTTCCTAACATTTTCAACTGACTTTTATGTTTTGTCATAAAGAATATTCTATGATATATGTAATTAGGCAGCAAATACATGATTGCCATTAAAATTAAGTACTCTTGTGTCATTATTATTCTGAATAAGACAATATTCTGAATTAGATTTTGGCCATGTGTGCAGCATATTCTGCTTGGATATTGTGAATCAGGCTTTTTTTCTGAATGTAGCATTTCCCCAATGAGGACATTTGGGATATGCTGGTAATGGCTGGGTTTTAGGAGCATTCTTTGGACATGGTAACAGCACATTCAGAAAATGTGTCTCAATTTGGAGTGGTGCAGTTTGCGACACACGGGGTCTGGCCTGTTTACTGTCAGCTCTGTGCATTGTCGTGGATGCATTGTACATACAGGAAGCCAACAGTTTTCAAGGTTGGAGCAGAGATGCATGCCTGAAAGAAAAGCTCACATTCCTGGTTGGAAGGAGAAACACTCCTACGTTTAGACGTTATAAAAGGTTTTTTGATATGTGCAAATATCGCCATGCTGACTTTTTCAAGACAGTGATTGAAGGAATGAAAGATGGAGGCTGTGGATGCAGAGATGTAAAAGTCTACCACTAGTGGAAATCTTAAAGAAAAAATGGGGTTTTGACACAAAGAAGCAAATTGGCAACCAGGTCTAGCCATTCCACTCTTTCATATTTTGACATGATAAACAGCACTTTAGGACATTTTTATTGGAGTGTACGCAGCAGCATGTAAACAGGATTTTAGCAAAATATTCACTTCCATTAGTTGTGTCAGCAGCTATCAGAATAAGTGCAAAAACCTGGATATTTTGTGCATGTAAACAAAGTCATAGTATATGCAATGGATCACTGAAGTGCTACCCTAAGTGGTACCTGGCTCTGACTTTCTACTGTATCAAAGTGCCAGTTTTAGTCACAAGCTTGAGGCTGGTTTTACAGTGGTCCTGCAGTAAACATTGAACTAACCCTCCATACCACAGTCCATTTCCTGTGCTGTTTATACAAGCACGATGGCGCCATAATTCCTGTGCTTTGCCAGCAGCAGCGTGTGCTGTAAATTACCAGTCATTTATGACTGGGTGTGATCTTCCCAGCATTCAATCAGAGCACTAAAAAAATAAACAAATAAGGATTAGATTTTTTTTTTTTTAACTGCTCCCACTTGACTGGCGTTTTAAAAGTCGTGTATGGATAAGTAATATCTTCACCTCCACCTCAACATTCTGCTGGTTTTATGAGTGGAGCTGGTGTCTCTGTTGGTTACTGTTCAGGGGAAGGTCATAAACGGGCGATTTATGTCTGAAGTGCAGCCAGGAATGCTGATGCTACTGTCAGAGAGCAGAGATACTATCTGGTTTGACTCACATTTAATGGAAACTGTAAAGTCCACAACTGAACGTCCTAACTCATGCACTTTTTACAGTATGTGCTCACACCGAAGAAGCGTTAACATAACAGGCAGACGGAGGATATATAGAATGGTATAATGAGATAGATGGAATATAAGTTTGCTCCTTGCGACACTAAAAGCAGGTCTCACACTTTCAGCATCTTACATCACATTTCAAGTCTAATTTGAGGTCTAAGTGCACCAAATGTGCCTCCAGTATTAAACTTAATCGTCATAGTGAGAAATGAGAACACTTCATTAGTCCTCCAATGGTGTCTGCACTTGTGGAAAATATTATTCAATACAAACACATAACTTGCAACACGGTCTCACAAGTGCAACAGTGTCCATAAATGCAACACCAACTAATATGATGTTAGATCGATTTCTGCACCACCTACTTTTTTTGCAGCGGTTATCTTTTAGCCACCATTGTTAAGTTATGGGCATTTTAATTGCTATAGACAGGGGTCCATTAGCATAGCTTCTTGGGTGGCCATGGCCATGTTTCTCCAAATCATTAAGCTAATTATACAAGCTAATTAATCAGTATGCTTGGAATGGGCTGCGTGAGCAGACGCTGCTCTTTGTTGGCTTGCATAATGAAAGGAGTCCATTTTTAGATGGGGAAAATGAAGAAGGGGAGGGAGAGAGAAACTTTGATCTCAAAAGTAAACATATGATTTTTGCATATCAAGTACGTCGGCTAAGTTGGGGGAAAAAAAAATGTGAAGTCGGATTACAGATGCAAAAAGCCAAGCTGGATTCACATTTGTAGTGCTTTGAAGATGTGGAACACTGCATGGAGATAGCAGATAGTAGAGGTAGTGTGTGCAGTGGTGTCCAACAACCAATTATCAGTGTCATTGTCATGCAAGACAAACACAGGCAGAGATCTGTCAGTCACTGGCGCCGCTGTTACATTTGAGGGCAATCAGACAACTTCAAGCATGTGCTCCTCTTCCGTTACTGAGCCGAGCTCTGGTCTTGGAATTTCATAAAGCAAACATGGGAGGCCGTTAATATTGATGTGTGTGTATTTGACAAAGCCTGTCTGTGTGTTCTCAAGAATGAGGAGGACCTCTGTGCTCCTCGGACATCATTTGAGGTCCCTTGCCACCCTATTATTTTCTAGTCATCAATCTGAACCAAGCCGTTGACAAAATCAATTAAGGTCCCATGTATGTGCGCTGTATGGTTATCACTGGGCGTGTATGTGCATCTGTGTGTGTGTGTGTGTGTGTGTGTGTGTGTGTGTGTGTGTGTGTGTGTGTACGTCAGGCGCATATTCATGCTTTCTTGCACACAACTAAGGGCGCATGAAAGAGAGTCACTGTCAGAAATTATTACTTACAAGCAGACATATCCAAACATCCTGCTATCCTGTCTCCAGTATGTGGTAGAGACACTGTCAGTGTTCATGCAGGAGTCTATTTTTAGCAGCTCTTATTATGCACAACGGAAAATCACCTCCTCAAAGTACATGAAGCATGTTTACAAAACCTAATGGGACTATGCTGATAACACAGCAATGCGTAGTGGCTACAGGGTATGTTGGAGTATGCATGTCTCCATACGTCTCAACATGTGATTGTGTGTGCGAGTCTACGGCACAATGATCCAAGTGTTCAGTTGTAAATGGACAATGATACAATACACTAAAGCATGACTCACACTGACCTCTCTTTCTCTTACCCCTCCAGGGAGATTCTGAGGAGTTCTCTTCTTTCATCACTCTGGTCCGAGGCAGCAATCGCAAATCATTATTCCAAACAGGTAAGATCCTCCCTCCTTGAAACTGTATTATTGAACAAAGCACTCTGTCTATGACAATCACCTGTGACCAAATCCTCTTTTCAATGTTCAAATGTCAAAGCAGCCACGAAAAAAATCAACAGGACAATAATGTCAACCCACAGAAATCAAATCAAAGGTCAAACAACTAAATGTTGTTAGTATAGATGGGTATAGATGAATGTATGAAATGATCTATTGTTCAGGCACGGTAAATTGGTTTCCTGACTGCCTGACTTTTTATTATTTGATATGAAATAATAGTCAAGCTTGGCAAACAAGTTAGGTTTGATTTCCTTTTATGAAACAGGGTAGATGTTTTATAAATTATAGAACAGCTGTGTCTACAGTGGTACACTGAGGATTGTCCTGTTGTAATCACATTAAAAAAACAGGCACAGCATTTCTCTCACAGACACATTGTTTGGCTACTGTACTGGACTGATGCTCAATTGCCTGAAATATCACTGGTATTGCTCTGCAAAGCACAGTGACACACATAAAGCATGCTAATGGTGCCCTCTGGAGTACAGAAATCTCTACTGCTGCTGCTCGACTGTTTTTACAAGAGATCTGTTTGCACATTAAGACTGCGTGGACGATGCAGCCATTCGCACTTCTCGCAGCTTTTGGAGGACTGACAGGTGCTTTTAGCACATTGTGGAAGCCTAAGCACACTTGCAAGCACATAGAGACGACAAGAGGAGGCTCCCTGAGAAAATAAAGTCATAGTAGGTGACCTTAATCTAAACACGCTGAATCTCCAGAATCATCTATCGAAAATAATATCATCTCTAAAATGCCCGCTACTGTATTGTCACACGCAAAGTGGCATTTTCTACTGCACTCACATGTACATATGACTACAAATGCTCAACCATACTGCAAAAAATCAGTCTCACATTAAAAATAAATGACTCCTCCTCGTTATTATTTTTATCATAATGATGTTTAAGTTGGGATCATTAGCAGTACAGTTCACGTCCTTTGGAACCAGAGAGGAGTTACCCTCTATCACAGCACTGTTTTTCAGATCAATGACTAGTGCTGTGGTTTCCCCCAAAGGACTTGCGGGTGCAGCTGTAATTGGAGCGTTTGTGTTGCTGTGAGTTACTTTCCCGTAGGCCCCACACACCAGAACATTCCTCTACATGTCCATAGGATTCCCAGTGAACTTATCTAATGCACCTGCAAGGAAAGTTCTGCGGCGTTCTATTTTGAGATCAAATTATATAGCAAAGCTGTTCCAACCCTGTGTCTTGTTACTGGGACACAGCCCTTCGCTTTTATGTCTTATTTTTACCAGCAGCGTCAAGTATATTCCCCAGTGTGTTAAATAGGTGAGTGTCAACGCTACGAGGCAAACGCTGCTTTTCACTCAGAGCATTTCACACATATGATGCCCTCTGTCCCCCGTGGCAATTACTGTGAACACTTGCGAAAATTTGTCGGAAGCTCAGGTGGCAAAGTGATTTGAATTAAAGATGACAGCAACAAATGCAGCTTCAGTGGAAAGGCTAGACAAAAACAGTTAAGTACAGACAAGTGAGTTAGACTAACTTTGTGCCTGAAGTATTGTAAATGACAGCGGCAAAATTGTCAGCATTGCATAGTCTGTTGGAGGCCATTTGAATGTCCTGTTCAACAACCATTAAGGCATTAAATTTAAATTGAATCTGTTGTTTCTTCTCAGAGAGAAAGTCTTAAAGACACTTGTTAAATGACACTGTAGCACATTTCACAAAGAGCGGTGGGTACGTAGGTGCCCTACACCTGTCAGATGGAGTTGTGTTATATAAAGCAGAATTCGCAGCAGTCGCAGGTGACCTCGTTCAGAATAGCAATGAGTCCAGCAGCCAAAAAACTTTCCAAAGTCTACTTTCTAAAAGTGCTTACAATAAATGAGAAGTGACCTGCTAACGGTGAAAAATGCTATCTTTTTACAGCGAAGGCCATCCATAATTGGGAAAAAGCTGAGGTGCTGCACACAACAGTGCATGACTACTGGGCTGAATTATGTCTTTTGAAGGTCCAGTGTGACGCATTTAGAGGGATACACTGGCAGAAACCTAATATAATAAGATGAGCATGTTTTTTTAGTTTATAATCACCTGAAAATAAGATTCATTGTGATTTTGTTAACTTAGAATGAGCCGCTGATATCTACATAGGGAGTGAGGTCTTGTATACAGAGATCGCCATGTCTCTACAGTAGCCCATAACAGACAAACCAAACACTGCCTCCAGATAGGGCCGTATGTGTTTTTACATTGGCCTTATACCATAACTTTGTGGATAATTCTGCTCTTGGTGAAAATCCCCTGAATGTCTGAATCTTAAGTTATCAGAGAAAAAAAGGTGAGCATACATTAGCAGGTGCTAGGCTAGAGGACTGTCTCTGACATGCCAAACAGCATTATAAAAACACTGATTTGTAACATGAAACTGCTTTATTCAGTGTTTTTACTTGTTTTAATCACCTGGTCCAATTATTTTTGAGAGCAGGAGATCTCTGCGGATAATTCGGCTCCCAGTAAAAACCTCTTGAACATGTAGATCAGAAATAAGGTGAGCACGCATTAAGTTATCAGAGAAAATAGATGAGACGGTGCTGGGTGAGCTGCCTGTCTACATCGTGCCAAACAGTGTAGGAGAAACACTGATTTGTAACTGAAACTGCTTTATTCAGTGTTTTTACCGCTTTAAGTCACCTGGGCCATTTGTTTTGGAGATAAGGAAAACTCTGCGGATAATTCGGCTTCCAGTAAAAACCTCCTGAACAAAAAACACTAAAGAAATTCTCACCAGGAGAAGTTTCAGCTGGTTGCAGTTACCATTGGGCAATATGGACAAAAATTCATATCTTGGTATTTACAGGCTGACTGGCGATGTACGATCTGGGTATTTTCTATGAAACGGGCGACATGTTTTCGGTTGCAAGTCAAAGTCACATTTGAGATGTAACAAGCAGTTTTATAAAAACAGACTGTGATCAAAATAAAATGCAAAGACAGGGATTTTATTCCCATGTTTGAAAGTATGCAGCTGCATAACAGTAAGCCTACACCTCCAAAACACCAGTCAGCAAGTGCTGTAAAGTTTAGTTGATTCAAAACACACATTAAATATGGCTTAATAGTGACAATTTCAAACACAAGTACACAAATCAGCTTTACAACTCACAAGCATTCACAGACAAAGCACTTGTCTCTATCTGGACACATGTTCCCCACAAATACAACATGCTAATGTTTTTAGCACAAGCCTATGGCATTTTACATTGTATAAATTAGCCTAGTGGCTAGCGAACTTCTCCTCTACTCATATAAAGCCAGGGACAACAGCGGCATTTTAAAAAAGTAATGTTGCAAAATTCGGCTCCATTACAGCTCACAAGGTTTAATGACAAAAAAACTGTCTTATGCTAAACATGTTTTCCAAACACATATAACATGATAACGTTATTAGCACAAGCCTATGACACTTTACACTGTTTAAATTAGCCTAGCGAATAGTGGAGATTTCCTCTGCTCATATGAAGCCAGGATAAATCACACACAAGACTTAAAATGCTATTTTGTGGAGGCTTTATTGTCTTCACAATTTATTGTTTCTTATCTGTGAAATAAACGTAAATAAAAGCTTTATATCCACTGAGGGAAATGGTTTCAGCTAGGGATGTCCCGATCCGAATCGGCCGCCGATATTAGCAAAAAACGTGCATCAGCATCGGATCGGACTGCATGGAAAAATGCCTATCCCAGAACTCCGATCCAGTTTTTCATAGAATCCGATCCAGGTTTTTCGGCCAGTCCAGCGATCCTCGAGTCAAGCAGTCCATTCCAGTGATCCGCTCCAGCACTTACTATCAATCCAGCAAGCCAGCATGCAGACACACATGGAGGCAAGGGTAGGAAGAGTAGTGGTCAATTTAGTTAACTGACTATTTGTTTTCTGCTCTGGTTTTTTGAGAGTGTTATTTTTATTTGGTTTACACTCTTACTGTTTAAGTAAAAAGCACTGATGGCATTGTTTTGGGCACAATTAGTGAAATTGGAGCCATGGGTGGACTATTGCTTGTTTAAACAGTTGTACAATATTGTGTGTGGTTTTTTGTCCCCTCTGTTGGTCCCAGGAAACAGCAGCACCAGGCTGGCACTGACACTACTAAAATAACTGAAAAGGAAAGGCTGCATTGTTTGTTAAATGCCAACAATGTCTTGTGGTGTTAATCTATTTTTTATTTATTGGGGGACCAAAGCACAAGTGTGTGGAGTCTTGCTGCTATTTTAATTTCAATGTTAGACATTTTAAAGATTTCTTGTGTTGATTTATTTTCTATTTATTAAGGGGCCAAAGCAGCCAAAGCAAACCAGCTATATTTTTTATTCAATGTTAATGTTCACGTTTAAAGTTTGTTTATTTAACCCTGTTAACAATAAACAGGTCAGTTTCTCATACCAACTGTTGTGGATCATTCTAACTAACCCGATTAAGTAGTTGTTCTTGTTAGAGTAATATCGCTTGATCAAACCTTTTCTAACATGACTGACAACAAAATAAGTGAATATGTATAATACGCGCTTGGATCGGATCGGATCGGTATCGGCCAAAACTCAAGGCTGTAATATCGGTATCGGATCGGAAGTGAAAAAGCTGAGTTGGGACATCCCTAGTTTCAGCTTACAAAAATAGACTGGAGGACTGTTTTGCCATGATGTGTAGTTACATTTCAGTAGAGGTGCACGTCAGGTTATGGCTCAAAAAGGTGTTGCTGGAGAACTTATGAGTGAGTGAGTGAGTGAGTGGGGCAGAGCTGTGTGAAGAGTGCACACTGGTATGCTTCATGTAACGTAACTTGACTCTATATCAATATAAACGGTGCTGTCTAAATTTATATCTTGCTTGAAAATATATCGTTATATCACACATAGTTGTTATATCGCCCAGCCCTTGTGGCAGTTTTTAATCTTCACCTCTAGATGCCATTTAATCCCCCTTAAGCTTACACACTGTTCCATTAATGTGAAGATGGCAAATATTGTTAAAGCACAGTATATATTTTTAATCAATCCTCAGGAACACATTTCCATGTAATCTCTTCTGTTTAAGGCATAGAGGTAAGAGCTCTCTTGGAAGTAGGTCAGGGGTTAATTATCACGTTCAAGGATACTTTAATGGGTACGGCCATCCATTGGGTCAAGAGAGAGGCCTTCCATTGTGATGTGTGGTCTGACCTAACTGACTACTGGTCCATCCTGCCACCTCCAAGGGTCAGGGTGCCTGATATGACTGCGTCTCCATACTTCTTAAATTTGATATATTGTATTACGGCTAACAAAAAGGTGTGTGTATGCGTGTGTGTGCACCTAAGCATGTGTTGGGGGCCGTCCCCGGCTGCGATGATTTATTATACCGCTTGAAGGGACTTGTACTTTCATGAGGTCACATGAGTAACATGGCAGTCAGGCATAGCACACTGTTCTCTTTGGCCCTGCTGGCGATAGGAAGGCATGCCAAAACAGCTAAAACAGATTCCAGTTTGCACATATTCAGGTACACAGTATAAAGTATATATTCATTGTGCACACACTCACACAGACGTGCGCACACACACACTAAATCAAATACTGTAATCCAGGCTTAATACTGCTTTATCACCTGCGCAGGAGGCAAACGTTATGCAAATGCACATAAGCTATTCCAAAGGCACGTCAGATTTAAGGCCTGTCTTTAATATGTCTTTTGAGAGGTTAATTCTATGCAAATACAGCCTCATGAGTTGGGAAACGCTCAGGATATTTTCTTAATAACACTAAGGGGATGCCACTGAGATGCAAAGTGGAGTCTTTTAGATTGACCTTGGATGATTATTTTGAACTTGGATTTCACCTGAGGGTGCCAATGCAATATTTCATTATTTTGTATTGCAAACACAGGTCTGCACAAGTGAAACAGAGATAGTACTGGTCATTTGCATGCTCAGACTTCACTGAATTCATACAACTAAAGTAGCTTCTCTGGAATTACAGTCGAATCTGCAGAATGACAGAAGTATGAAAATGGAGCGAGGCTGAAGTGTGCTAGTGATCAGCTTTATGATTTTCATTTTAGAGATCTGGTCTTCTTATATTCACCCTCAGGTGTATTTTTCTCATATTGTGCGCAATATCAAAAGAGTTGGTGAAAAAAAAAAAAAAACATGAAAGCTGGTTGCTGGAGAGACACAATGCACCACTGTGAAAAGACTGATGAAATGAACATATCAAATCTGACATATTTGTTTGTGCTTCCTCCCATAAGTGTAATTTTGCCCACTCTCTGCAACAGTAAATAAATAAGGGCATTGTTGAAAATAGGCCATGAATAACATGCTAATATTAGAAATGCAGTTCATCCACTGATTTTCTTTTGCTTTCAAATGACGGACTAAGCCTCTCGGGCGAGCAGTGGGTTGATGCTAGTTGATTTTGCTGCTGTTATCGACAGAATAGTAGAAGCTCATTTGGCTTTATTTCAATCTTTCCAGTTTGTTTTCTTAAAAAAAAAAAAGGCAAGGTTTGTGTCAGATTTTCTGTTCAATTATTTGAGATAAAAACCTTATCCCACTGACTTTTTCTCATCTCCTAGGTGGGGGCAAAGGGAGCAATCTTTTCAGTGGTGAGTCGGCGAGGTAAAACTGCAGCAGCGGGCAGCATGTTGGCACCTGCATGAACCCAACAGAGGAGCCTCATTTCTTGGTGAGTTGAACATGTTTTCTTTTTTTCTAGTACACCACACAGTCGATAAGGATGCTGTTTTTCTCACACAAGGTTTTCCATAGTAAACTTAGCATGTGTGGTAGCTAATTTGGTTATGACTTAATCTCATTAACTCTTGAGGAAAAAAAGAGCTTAATTGCAAAATAAGCAGGAGCATTTTTCTCTACACTTTAAGCTTCTAATATGAGAAAAGCAGCTTTCAGAATAAATTGGAACAGCATTTTCATTGACAGTGATGTACCAGGGCCTCTTTTTTGAACCAAATCAAAGTCTTTGCCTTTAAAAAGTTGGAGCTATTGATTTTGTGAATGGTACGAAAAAGACAATTTCCATTTTTATGAATGACATGAGGATGTATTTTAATTGAAGAATGTGTAGAGGTTTCTTATAATCAACTCCAATTCGAAGTGTCAACATTAAAGGTCCAGAGTTCAAACCACTTTTGTCTATGTGTGGGTAAAGAGCTAGCATTTTGGGACTAACGCTGTGGCTAAATTTGGATAATACTGTACACTTTCATGTTGTTCACTACTTACTTGCACAGTGTATGAATTTTGACATGGTAGTGTTGTTTCAATGCAAATGACAATTGCAATATTTGACCGTATATTCTTTTAAATGCCAAGTTGCCACCAGACGGCGCATTACTGCCAACATTTTACCGCAATTGTTGATCACCAAAATATCTGCCGGTTTATTTGCTTGCTCACCAGAGTAACTGCAAATACTGCAGCTTCCTATGCTGCCATTTTCACACGTTTCGTAGTCTGTCCCCTTTATGGATGTATGAAAAGACCTGGATGCAAGGTCGGAGATGGGACCCCATTCATTCCAATGAAAGTTGCTCAGTGGTACATAAAGCCAAAACTGTTCAACTGCTGCGCATAAAGTTACCCAGAAGATTGGCGCTGCTTCCACATCACTGGGCCCAAAGAGCAAGGGCACTAGAGAGTTCCCCGGTCTAGCCAGCTACATCCAGTTTAGCCCTCCACTAACTTGAATGGGGAAACCATAATTTAATAGTAAGGCTCTTTGAGACTTTCCAAATGTCATCAACCTGAATGCATCAAACCCTGACAGAGAAACCAATCATTTTGCAGGGGTTTTGATTATCAAAACATTTCCCATTGATCACAGACATCTCTCTCCTGATGTTTATCTATGGGAAAAATGTATTTTGGGCCCAATGGCAGTTTAGCCACCAAAAAACTGTCTTCAAAGCCTGGCACACTTCCTTGGGGCCTGATCCCTGTCTGCTAGTTAGTCAAAATGGCGACCATTAAGAGTTAGGATGTCCAGTGTCCCACACCAAGCTTTTTGACTGTCATGAGGCCACCATCTGGGTTCATAGTGCATTACATTTTGCCATACTTGTCGGTGTGAACAGACTTATGCATTTCAAACAGGAAAAGGAAGTATGAAAAACGCAAATTGAGACACAACATTAAGTCCCTGTTGCATTTCACTCATTATTTGACTTGACTTGACTATTGCCTTGAAATACAATGAAACATTTGACACTATTTGAAGCTAGGAAGTACAGGAAGTACGAAGTACAAAGGACAAATGGAGTAGAAAGTTGTGTGTCATCGGCACTGTGGCTGAATGTCATCAATGGATATTACAGAGCACATAAATATTAGGGGGGCATCTAATAGAAAAACCCACTGCATTTAATTTTAGTTCTGACCTCAATAAATATAGATATAAACATAAATAAAAAATGACACTGACTAAATTTTTTACCACTTTTGTAAAACTTTGAAAAACAGAATCATAGATTGAAGCCTTTAGCTTTCATTTCTGGTATTACTGAAGGATGACTGTGGATTCCTAATTGGTTTGGATTCACACACAAAACATATTTAATACTGATAAGAAGAACTTTATCACATAACGAAAAGAAAATAAAAAATGAAAGTTCTATTAATCAAGGTTTTAGTGCTTTATGATTACCTAACAAAACATGACAGCATTACACATTTGCGCTCAAATGAATAGCTTGCATGTTTAAGAGAGCACCATCATTAGCGAGAATGTGTTGATTTGATTTTTTTTTATTCTTCGTCTGTCCATTAAAACTCCTCCGCTTTGGAAAATGTTTTTAAACCATATTTTGAAGCATTTACATTTTGTGTGAAGCCCCTCCGAGGGAGGAGAAAATACATTTATAATGAAGCAACACACAAAAAGGGAAACAGAAAAAGACAAAGAAAGGGCTAATCAACAAACCCAGGCAAACAAGAGACAGAAACTCCAGTGAGAGTTTACTGGATTGGATGGGGTACTGCGTATTGTTAGAGGGAATATGAGGACAAGCTAATACAGGGACAGGCACAAGAGTTTAGTGTCCATCTTTGGGTAAACAATCGCTAAGAAGAAGTCCCCAAATGACTGTTGTCAGCATTATTAAAATAAGCTTATCATAATTTAGTTTTACTGCCAGGTTAATACACTAGATATCTGAAAATGTAGACATGGGATTAGATTTAGCCATCAAAAACCATATGGAATATAAAAAAGTCTAAAAATAGGCATTGGCACCAGAGCCACATACATCATTCTAAGCAGACAGAATGTGATCATGGGACAAATTCAGAGGATTGTTTCCCAGATTTAACTAAGGTCTGAAATACTAAAGCCTGTTCTCAGTGGAGAAAATCCCTGCCCTGGGCCTGTGTGATGATGTAGCTGAGAAAATACATTCAGCGGGGTATAAATATTGCACGGTGAGTACATGGAGGGCTTTTTGGCCGATGAATTATTACAAAGTCCAGTGGCTTTATGCCAGCCGCGGAGTATATCTCGCTCAGCTTCACCCTGCAATAAGCTGTGGCTGGGGAATTGTGGTTATAGGCACGCCACAAATAACTACCAACGATACTTGGAATCCATCACGCTCATCCCACATGTTGTGTGCTTACACTTGAGTGCTCTCAACATCAGCCGGTAAGCAAAAAAAAAAAATAAAATAAAATAAAATAGTAGGAATTGCCTGTGAGGCCTATGTCAGTGCAAAAAAACAGCCCTCCAAAGATGCATACAGTATACAATCTAATTTTTCACATTTCCTCCATGAGCACATGAAGCACCGTGTGTTCTCTGTGTGGAAGTGCTGTCAGGGAGGCAGGACTGAGAGGGAAAATGTTTACCCGAATATTCACCTCCAGGATGCTTTGATAGATAGTTTATCCCCCAAAAGAGTAAACTGTGCCAACTCCTCGTGCTCACTCTTGGAGGAGCAAATCTGGATGAATGATGATGAGTCTATTCGCTCGACATCAATAGAACAAGGTTGTGAAATTAGTCCATCTTCTGCTTTTTTCCCGCTAAATCACTTTTCATTTGCACAAGATAATCATGTAACTCAGTGGAGCGCGGAGTTAATGGTTAATACATCTGATTGTACCAACACAATGAGAATAAAAGAAGATCAAAATAAGCATCTAAATGGGAAAAGGACTTTTGCTCGGCGCACTGCATTGTCGTACCAAAGAAATGTCGGGCAGGTTGGGTCTTTTGGTGATTAGCAAAAAAAAAAAAAAAGCATAATCCCCCAGACTGCTGACATATTTCTTTTGAAAACAGCCTGTCTGAAAAAGACAGATACGCTCTGGAAAATGGATCAAATCTGTTTCATGTCAGATAGCAGCTAGCGGTTTCCCAGGGTGAATCTTCACTAAGCCACAAACAGACGGGATTAGAGATTGAAGTACTGGCCATAGTAGATCAGGAAATACAAAAAAAAGGACAATATTAAATGATTAGAGACAACTTATGATAACCTCTAAATTACTTCCTTAAATGCAGTGCATACTACACTGTGTGCTGTGTGAATCAGCAAGTTCAAATCAGAGAATGTGTGTTGGAGGTCCAAATTTATACTCTTCCCTAATTTGTCGCAATAAAAGTGCTAATTCTCTTCCCTTACACTGGAATTGCGATTATTAGGAAACAAGCATAGAAAATTCACTTTTTTTCCCCTGCAAAGGAGGAATAATTCTGCAGCCCTAGCCGAGCTGCTGTGTGTGTTTAATGAAATGCGCGGATTTATCTCAAGGCACTATGGATGAGGTATTTAAGTCTGGTGCATATTTCATGACCGTTAACTGCATGCCGGCTGCTCATTAGTCACGTGACAGGTAATGGTTGTGGTGCCTTTTGAAATGCATTAAAAGATCTCTCTCTCTCAAGCACACATATAAATAATTATATAAACAGAAAAACTGGCTGCTTATAGTCATGATTAATTGCATTCCTCCTTATTCCATATCATAGTGCAAGCATCTATGGTTAAATGTCCACATGGCAAAAGCAAGTGTTATGATCCATTCAATTAAAACCTTGGCATGCTTAATCCGATTACAAGCCCCTAAAGGAATGAAAGAGAAATGTTCATTTGCATCCCCTTTAGCTTCAAACTTTTAGCAGAAGGCTATTTTTGCCTAAATGTAATCATCAAATATATATATGGCTATTTTTCAGTCAAATAATAAGTGTTATAGCAACCTTTATCCAGTGAAATACAACCACAAGATGGTGCTGTGCATCACCGTTTGTCCTCCAAGTGACTCCATCTGAAGGGTGATATTTACCTCCCATTATTAAAGTGACTGGCTTCCATTTGATTTGCTGTAGCCTCATAGATTTACATGCAAACGTTCAATAAATATTAAGCCTTTTGGTTGGCTTTACACCAAACTGAGAGACTTGTTATCGCCTTTTTACTTGACATTATCGAAGAATATATACAATACGTCTCTTTAATTGGTAGTGTCTTGATGTTAAGGTGAATTTCTTAAACATATGCTAAAAGAATATGCTCATTTTAGCTCTGCAGGTGAGAAGCAAAACCTATCTTCTAAAGAATAAATTGAGGAAAGGAAAAATGTAAAACAAACAATCAGAATAAATTAGCTGTTGCTTTCTGTCTATAGAGGGTTGGATGTGTGCGTACAGCTGGCATCATTACAGTTAAT